CTTTGATAATTAATAATAAGTCTCCCTGTCATTATTTGTGAGCTGGTGGTACCTAAGAGAAAGTTCTACCACAGTTGTTGTTATTGTTGCTGTTGTTTTGAGACAAGGTCTCTCTCTGTAGCTATGGCTGGCCCAGAACCCACTGTGTTGACCAAGCTGGTCTGAAACTCACAGAGATCTGCCTGCCTCTGCCTCCCAAGTGCTGGGATTAAGAGTGTACACCACCATACTGGCTAAATAAATAAAGATGTGGTGTGTGTGCGTGTGTGTGTGTGTGTTGCCCACAGAGGCCAGAAGAGTATATTAAGTACATTGGGTCCCCTGGAACTGGAGTTACAGGTAGTTGTGAGCTGAGTGGAAACAGCAGGGGGCATTCCTATCTTTTTACACGTCAGCTGATTTAGGCTCTTTGTCCCTTATTTTTTACCTCTGCCTTCTGCCTATAACAGCTTTCTTTAGCTGCCATACTAGACTCTGAGGAAGATGAAGGAACCAAAAGGATGATAACGCTGGGTGGAGGCTAAGTCCCCGAGGAGAGTTGAGAACTGACATCAGCTTGGTCTGTCCAGCCCTTGGCTTTGACCTCCTAGAATGGGCTGGGCTTTCTTCTGCCTCGGTATGCATTGCTGTGCCTGGGATGTATGTATTATGTATATTTTATACTGCAAAAGCCTTGGGGGCTAGTGTTCCCAGAATGCTGAAAGTGCCATGGAATTAAGACCCTTTGGGAGCAGTGCTCCTTTTTTGAGTCCAGCTTCCTCTCCTGGATGGGCAGGCTCTAAGGCAGCGGTTCTCAACCCGTGGGCCGCAACCCTTTGGGGGGGTCACCTGAGACCATCAGAAAACACTGATATTTACATTCCAATTCATAACAGTAGCAAAATCACAGTTATGAAGTAGCAATGAAAATAATTTTATGGTTGAGGGTCACTACAACATGAAGAACTTATTAAAAGGTTACAGCATTAGGAAGGTTGAGAACTATTGCTCTAAGAAATGTGTCTTCCCAGACTGCTCACTGAAAAAGCTTCAGATATTCATGATGTTAACTTGCTTGATGCCATACCCTTTCTAGACAGAGTTCCAACATGAATACAGGTTTAGAACTTGTTCCTATTCATGAATGATATGAGAGAGAATGCCAGGTATGGCAGCACATGCCTATAATCCCAGCACTAGGGAAGCTGAGGTGGAGATTGTGCAATTGAGAAACTGCTTTAGCGCAGAGAACAACAAGAGATGAAACTCAAAATAATGAAGACCTGTCAGGACTCTGCTCATCAGTGACTTGAGCAACTATGTTAAGTAAGCTGAGAGTTTCAAACTAGCATATATGTTTGTGGTTATAATGTAACAGCAATAGACAATACATGCTGTGAACATAATCTACAATACTGAGCAGACCAGATGGTTCGGTGAATAAAGACACATGCAGTCAAGCCTCAAGATCTGAGTTCAATCCCTGGGCCCCTCATTGTAGAAGGAGAGGATTAACCGCTGAAAGCTGTCCTCTAAATTCTGTATGTGCAACAAGGCATATAGTCATACGTGCACACTCAAACACACACACACACACACACACACACACACACACACACACACACGAAATATGTAATATATGTAATAAAAATGTTTAAAAGTCGACAGTATTGGAGCTGGGCAGTGGTGGCACACACCTTTAATCCCAGAATTCAGGGGGCAGAGGCAGGTGGATCTCTGAGTTTGAGGCCAGCCTGGTCTACAGAGTGAGTTCTAAGACTACACAGAGAAATGCTGTCTCAAATATATTTATTTATTGTTATAAATATATTCTTTTACATTATGTATATGGGTATTTTGCTGCATATATGGCTGTGCACCATTTGCATGCCTGGTGCCTGCAGAGGCCATAAGAGGGCATCGGATCCCCTAGAAACTGGAGTTACAGAAAGTTATGAGCAGCCATGTGGGTGCTGGGACTTGAACCTTGATCCTCTGGAAGAGCAGCCACCTCTGCAGCCCTGTCAGTATTCTTCTTTAAGCAGATGTAGTCGTAAGAGACTTCCAGGATTTAAGCTGCAGTAGAACTGGTCACAAGTCTGCAATTCAGTGTTACTGCAAGACTCTGGTAAATTCTTGCCGTTGTTCTAGCTCCCTGCCCTTTGGGAATATATCTGCTCTTTGGGATGGTTGTGATGAGCACAACCATTTATGGGTTTATGTTTCAGGCTACATGACAAGCCATCCCCTAAATCAACTAGGTTCAACCAAGTAGTTCTTTTGTTCTACACAGTGTCAATAAGGTTAGTCACATCACACTATCATTGGTAGTTCAGCTAGGTTTGAACTTCCAAACTAATTTCATTCATGTGTAATGTCAGGTGGAGCTTCTAGAATGCCTTAAGGAACAAAGAGGACCTGTCTCTTCAAAGGGCTCTCCAGCAGGACACCTAACTGTTGTTAGATTTTCTTTTACTCTAGCCCCATGTTGGAATGCCAAAATCTTGTTTGTTTTTGCTCTTTTGGGGGGGCCCACCACCCAGCTCCCAAATAAATCACATATGAAGGCTTACTCTTAATTATAAATGCCTGGCCTTAGCTTGATGTTGTATGATATTTTGTTTGAGTTCTGACAAATAAAACTTGCTTGGAGATCAGAGGGCGGAGCTAGTCACTGGTTAACCATAGAGGCCAGGCAGTGGTGCCACACACCTTTAATCCCAGCACTTGGGAGGAAGAAGTAGGAAGATGAGGAGTTCAAGGCCCCCTGGGCTTCATGCGATTGAACCAGTCTGAAAGAGAAACAGAGCTGGGTGGTGGTTGGTAGCTCATACCTCTGATGCCAGCACTTGGGTCTCATGCCTTTGATCTCAGTACTTAGGAGGTGCATGCCTTTAATCCCAGCACTAGGGAGGTAGAGATAGGAATATAAGGTGGGCAGAGACAGGATGAGCCCCCATTCAGTCTGAGGTAAGAAGTATCTAGTGACTGGCTGCTCTGTTTCTCTGATCTTTCCACTTTCACCCTCAATGTCTGGTTCCAGGATTTTATTGTTAAGACTAATTAGGTTCATGCTTCAGCTTGGCTTGTTTCTTGCCAGTTTTTCTTAACTTTAAACTATCCTGTCTATTTTTTGCCTCTGAGCTTTTACCTTTTCTTACTTCTGTGTATCTTACTTTCACTCTTACTGTGTGGCTTTTGTGGCTGGGTGGCTGGCCCCTCACATCCTCCTCTCCTTGTTCTCTTGCTTTCTTCTCCTCCCAGATTTCTCCTTCTATTTATTCTCTTTGCCTGCCAGCCCCACCTGTCCTTTCTTCTGCCTAGCTATTGCCATTTAGCTCTTTATTAGAATCAGGTATTTTAGACAGGCAAAGAATCACAGCTCCACAGAGTTAAACAAATGCAACATAAAAGAATGCAACACATCTTTGCATTATTAAACGAATGTTCCACAGTATAAGCAAATGTAACACATCTTAAAATAATATTCTACAACACCTAGCCTTATTTATACCCTTGGGTGGAAGAAGCTGCCAAGTCTCTTAAAGCCTAGATGCAGAACTGAAAGACACTTGTACCTCACTCTATTGGTCAAAGCAAGTAACTTGACATTCATATTCTACAAGAGGGAAAAAGTCCACCTTTTGATGGGAGAACCAGATGCTCAAACAAGGAGAAGACTGTTAGTAGACATTTATGCAAAAGAATCTACTACGGTGGTGATCAGTGTTGACCACGGTGGTGGTCAGAGTTCAACTGTTCCTGCCAAGATGCAGAATGAGAGACCTAACCATCTTAAGAACTGTTTTGGCACAGTAGCAAGAGCTATAGCATTCAGCAATGCTGAGTGTTCTTTTTTTTTTTTTGTGGGGCGGGGAGGAGGTGGTTTTAGCCAGTGGCTTTCACTATAGCTCAGGCTGGACTAAAACTCACTATTAATGCAGGCTGGCCTTGAACTCACCACAGCCATCTTTCCTCAGCATCCTGAGAGCTAGGATTACCAGTGTAAGCCACCAAACCTGGCTGACTTATTATTATTATTATTATTATTATTATTATTATTATTATTATCACGATCATCATCATCATCATCATCGAGACAAGGTCTCATGTATCCCAAGATGACCGTGAATGCTTCTTGCCTCTACCTTCAGAGTTCTGGAATTACAGCTGTGCTCTAGCATGCCACATTTATGTGGTGCTAAGGATTAGGCAGGCACTCCGCCAAGTGAACTATATCCACAGACGTCGTTACTACACTTTAAAAAACTTTTTGGATCCATCTGAGAAGACAGCCCTCACTCTGTACACACTTTACAGTGATATATGTGGACCAAATGAAGTCTTTCTCCATGATCCCGAGTCATCTCCCTCCTCCCCCAAGCCCCACCTCCACCTTTTGTTGTTGTTTTTGTTTTTCAAGACAGGGGTTCTCTATGTAGCCCTGGTTGTCCAGTAACTAGCTCTGTAGACCAGGCTGGCCTTGAACTCACAGAGATCCACCTCCCTCTGCCTCCTGAGTGCCGGGATTAAAGGTTAAAGGCATATGCTACCACCTACCCCTTAAGCCAATGCTGGAAACTGAAGTTTAAGATGGTTAAGTGATTTGCTTCACGTCATACATTAAGCCAGTCAGAATCGAGAAGTCCACATTAGAAGATGTCTCCTTCCAACTTGGTGGTGCATGCCGCTAATCCCAGCACTGGGGAGGCAGAAGCAGTTTGAGGCCAGCCTCGTCTACAAAGTGAGTTTCAGGACAGCCAGGGCTGTTACACAGTGAAATCCTGTCTCAAAAAAAAAAAAAAAAAATTGAATAAAGTAAAATAGAAGAATTTTGTTATCATTTAATAATCAAGAAAATGCCACACAGGCATGCCCAGAGGCCAAACTGATTGAGGAAATTCTTCGGTTGGAGTTCCCTCTTCCCAGGTGTCTCTAGGTTGTGCCAAGTTAACAATAAAAACTAACCAGGACATGTCAGTCCCACAGATAAGAGGAGAAAGAGCACCGGCCAAATCATGGACAAATTAATCAAAGCAAGCCTTTTTTATTCGTGTACATTGGCGGTCTCTCCCTAAAATCTGGCGATCAGCTTTGGACATGAGGAAGATAAAGGTTTTTACAGCTCAGAAGTGGAGGTTTCCAAACGGGGAAGCCGGCAGGCAAACAGACGGGGCTACAGAAGCAGAACACAGGCAGAACAAGCTGATTATACCAACTTTCTGAAACGGCAACGAAAGACGTCTTCACAAAAGATGTCCTTCCGCTATAACCCATTCACTCATTCAACAAAGTGCTTTGAGGGACCCACCGTCTGTGTGAGGGAATGTACACAGTCACATAATAACATTTATTGATCGAATACTTCCTATGTAAGATTGTATCAGTGAATACTCGACGTAATTCGATTACGAAAGTCATCTAGAAATCTCTGCCCCATTTTACAGATGTAAAAAAGGCAGGGCAAGGTAGAAAGACAGAGTCCTACCTTCATAGGGATTACGACCGACCAGTATCATGGGATACATGATAGTCAAATAAATATTTAAACACATAATTACAAATTACTTGGAATCCAGTTGCTGTCAGAGAGGGTTTACCAAGCCTTCTGTCTCACAATTAAAGTCTCGGGTAACCCTGGCAACGGATCTCTCTGCCAATAATAAAGATGGCATCCAGACAGCGCGCATGTTTGCACACACCCCAATTACCCACAGTGCAAAAGGAGTAGAGGGAGGAGCGGTGTCTGCCAGGAGTTAATATGGCTCCAGTAGCTACACTGGTACTCTCTCTTCACCTAGTCAGAGACCTCACTGCTAAGACCAGTTTGCCAAGGAGAAATTAAGTCTCCTTTACCTCTTCACTGCTGCGACTACAGAAGCAACCGAAGCGAGACGACCCGCTCGTGGAGTTTACAGTCCGTACCCACGGAAGCGCCACTTCCGCTGACGTCATCACGGCGACACGTGGATCCAAGATGGCGGCGGCGATGGTGAGTGAAGGAGACTCCGGGAACCGGACCTGGAGCAGGGCCCCCTGGATAGCCCAGGACCTTCCGGCACCCCATGCCTGGTCCCCAGCCCCCTGCAGAACCCCTGCTCGGGTTACCCTTGACTGGGTTGGCCTCTCACAAAACCCCTTTCTCCAGCCTTGGCTTCCACCTAGGCTGGTCAGGGCCTGGAGTTTTAGGGGAGGTGCCGCTGGGAAGGAAGAGCTCAGCTAATGTCTCCGCGGTTCTCATTTCGGCCTACGTTCCCGCCCCCTTGTCACCTCTGTTTCCCAGTTTTCACCTCCGGGCCTTGTCTGCTTCCGAGAACCCCCCGTTATTTCTGCCTTCGCTCCTCCTCTCGTTCATCTCTCCCCGCGTCCCCATCCTCTTGACCAGTCTGCGGATGCTGCCTCGCGTCGGAGCAGCCTCTTAGCCCAAGCCCTGTCCTTAAATGCACCCCGCTTGATTGCTGCCACACCAGGGCATCCTGTGCCCATCTTCCATCCCCGGGCCCTTCCCTCCTCCGGCCTTTCTGTCAAAACTCGTTACCTCTCCTGAAGTGCTTTTGTCCGATTGGTTCTTAAACTTCACTGTGCATGGGAATCTTGGGTTGTGGGTGAGGAGGCATGTTAAAATGCAGATTCCTGAGCCTCACTCCCAAGGAGTGCAATTCCTTGAGGTTAGGCAATGCTCAGGAATCTACACTTTCACAAGTAGTCCTGTGATTATAATGGAGGTGGTGCCTGTCCTACCGTTTAAAAACACCTCAGGCCCTCCCTGTCTGCATCCTCTTCCCATGCCATACAGCTCCTTACAGGTAAACGGCTCACTCTCATGAAGCTGACTAGAATTAAGTCTCTCTACGGATGGGAGTGGAGGTAACAGAACTGTGCCTGGAGAGTGGGTCACAACTTGCTGGTTTCTGTTATGGAACCACAGAGTTAAGTTTTTGAAGGACTGGCTTTTTTTTTTTTTTTTTTTTTTTTCCTGAGAAGTTCAGCTCAAATTCTATTTGCCAAGGAATAAGAACAAAGATCCAAAGTGAATTTTCCTGGGTGGTCCTGTATATTGCTTCCTCAGAAGATAAATTTTGTTTCATCCTGGTAGTGAATGATAAAGATTCAGAAAAGGCTTGTTGACATTTGACTCTACCAAAGGAAAATTCTTGCTTAAACTATTTGGTGTTGGTTTACTCTAACCAGGGCCAGGTTAATTAACTGAAAGGATTCCCTTCTGCTAGCAGATTGCTAACTTATTCGTTCTGTTTTTTTTTTTTTTGTTTGTTTGTTTGTTTTTTAAATAAAATTCTTTGTTTATAAACTCAGAAGTCGGGTAAAAGATTTCATAGCTTGGGGGAGTGTAGCTCATTGGTAGAGCACTTGCTGAGCCTACACAAGAGCCTGAGTTTGACGGCACTGTTTGAGGGGGAAAAATGTTTCAGAGCTTTAGCTGGTTTCTGTGGCCTCAGGCTTCAGTCTGAATGAATGAAGTGGGGCAAATCCCCAGAGTGGAATGTTGAACCTTTTTCTCCTTGACCACCTTCAGAGCAAGGCTGATGTGAGGACAGGAAGTCACACCTTTTCTTGGCCATAGAGAGTTCAATAAAGTGGCATTTATAGCACTGCACTGGGAAATTCAAGCCCTGTACGGAGTTTTAAGAGTTTATACGTTAGCGGTGTGTATTTCTAGTATGCATTTATTTAATCAGCAAATATTTGAGTGCCCAGTTAGTGCCAGGAACTAGGTGTATAGTTATCAGAGGGTCAGGGTCCCACCCTTGCGGGGTTTCTCTCATTGGAGGAAACCTGCAGTGAGCAGCGCCCAAGTAGAATAATGTCTGTTGCTTTGAAGACAGCACGGTGAAGTGATGATTGGTGCTGACATACCTGGGATTGAGTGTCAGAATCTCCTCAGAGAAAGTGATATGAATTGAGGCTCAGTTGACCACAAAGAACCAGCCATACAGAGAATGACCCAGGCAAAGAAAATGGCAAGTGTGAAGATCCAGTGGTACTCTAAGGAATATACAGAAGGCTAGAACACCAGAACCTTGGGGAAAGGTGGGGCAGGAGACTGTGATCAAAGACAGATTGGAGACAGATAAGAACAATGGTTCCTAGAAGTGTGCTTATGATTGGTGTGGGTTGTAGCTCACAATTTGCAGTCTGTGTACTGTGTTTTGAAATAGATTGTTCTGTTAGGCTGGCTTCACTTCCTTAGGGGAACACATTAAGGGAGCCATCTTGTTCTTAGTGTACAAACAGACCATGGAAACTAATTTAATGCATTTCAATAAATGGAGAATGTAGCGCCTGGGAGGCTGAGGCAGGTGGATCTCTTTGAGTTCAAGGATAGCCTGGTCTAATGAGTTCCAGAAGAGCCAGTGCTATAGAGACTCTGGCTCTAAATAAATAGATAGATAAATAGATAATATAAATGGAGAATATGTTGTATGCAGAGGCAATTTAAAAGGCACACAAGAAACTGCATGTTTAGTGAAAAGGTACAGAAGCAAGTTTGTATAGAGGTGTATGTGGAGTCACAGGTAGGTGTGAATTTGGTCTGTGCCAAGCACGTTACTGCACAGAAGTCAGAACTGTCCCCACGCCCTCATACACATAAGCTATTTCACAACCATTTTGGGAGGGGCATATAGATCTAATTTGGGGTGAATCAGCTTCTGAGGCAAGTCATGCAAAGAGGAACTTAGCTGGTGGACTCAGTGGCCATGGGAACAGGCTGGAGTTTGGGGAGGCTGTTTGCTTTGAAAGTTGGAGATGTGGGTATACAGTCAAGGGCTTTCCCCCTCCCTCTCTTTTCATGAATGGCTCTTCCCCATTTGTGCAGATGTCTCCAAGGTCTGCTAAGCACAACAGTGTTTCCTGAATCTACAGAGCAAGACTTCTCTGGCTATAGGGAAAGGAAGCCAGGAGTTTGCCTTCTGCCCTGGATTTAGACCACCCTATAAAGTTACAGGATAGAATTCATCTGGCTGGGTCAAAATTGAGAAGCAGGCTCATATCTCATTACAGAAAACTGCTCTTGGGAATATTTTAATGGAACTTGGGAAATGCCCATTGAGTACATTCATAGGCACATAAAATACTCTATTTTCCTCAGATATCTCCTCCTTCACACTGTATCAGCTTTTATTATAGTTTTATCTCTATGGATATTATTCATATACCACAAAATCGCTCCTTATTAAAAGATCTTTTTAAATTTTATGTGTTTGCCTACATGTATATATGTGTACCATGTGCATGCCTGGTGCCTGAGGGAACCAAAGGAGATTATTGGAACTGGAGTTACAGATGGTTGTGAGCCACCTTGTGGGTTCAGGGATGCAAACCCCATCCTCTGCAAAGGCAGTGAGTGCTTCTAACACTGAGCTCTTTTAAAGTTCACAGTTCAGTGGGTTTTGGTGTATTTAGAGAATGACTGTTTAATTCCAGAACATTTTCATCAACCTAAAAAGAAGCATTCATAGTCATTCCCAGGCTTTGCTCCCCCTAGTCCCTGGCAAACACTGATTTTCTGTTGCTCTGAGGATTTACCTTTCCTCATTTCATATAAAGAGAATGTGTAGTTTGTGGTTTTTCTTATGTAGCTGCATTTACTTTCCCATGATACTTTCAAAGTTCATCATGTTGTATGTAGCATTCCTAGTGCTTTATTCTTCTTTTTAAATGGCTAAACCATTCTGTGGTATGGATAGAACAGTTTCTTTATCTCTTTATCTGCTGATTGGGACTGTCTCATGTATTAGCTGTTTGGAATAACACTGCTGTGAACTTTGTGTGCATTTTTACATAAACGTGTTTTCAGTGGTCTGGGATGCATGCCTAGTAGTAGAGTTCCTGGGTCAGTTTATCCTGTTTTGAAGGGTTTATTCCATGAAGGACAGAGTAACGGACTGACTGACACCAGGGTTCCTTGGAGCCAATAGAGGCGGTGCTAATAGGGCAGTTGGATGTGTCCTGGAGCAGGAGGCAGGAAGTTTCATGTGGTGGCAGCTGCTGTCTCCTTTGGACTTTCAGAGCATCAGTCAGCACTGGAGTAGGAGGCCACAGCCTGGCTCATTGTCGCTGATTTCATGTGTGGCCTGGCAAATGGATTTGGCTTTCTTGGTCTGTTTTATGTATATGTCATATGTGTCATTAATATCTGAACTTCAGCTGGGGGTGGTAGCACATGCCTGTAATCTCACTCGGGAGGCAGAGGCATATGCATTGCTGGGAGTTCTACCAGCCTGGTCTACATAGGGAGTTCCAGGCCAGCCTGGGCTATAGAAAGAGATCTGCCTTTTAAAAAAAAAAAGACTTCATGATTCCTAAGTTCAAATGGAACGTTCTGCATCAAATACTTACATTGAAGGCTACTTTTGCTAATGTCCTGTGCAGTTTGATTTGTATGGTACCTGTCACCATTCTTGTGCTCCCTCCAGGGTGTTGTGTTGGGGATATTTTCTCTCTGGCTCCTTGAGTTGCCTCACCTGGCACATATTCTGCAGGAACCACTGTATCCTGGGAACCGAGTGCCTGTACCAAGCCTTGGTTAATGTGCTTCTCTTTTAAAGGAGGCCCTAAGCCCCCAGGAAATGCAGAGAAGATGGCATTTAGTTGCCTCTTGGTCTGTTTTACAACTTGGACAAAAGGTCCCCTTTGATCTTGGAATTAAAGAAGCAGGTTTCAGAATGTTGGAGAAGGTTGAGTTTTGATGTCTGGACACTGGCAGGGAGGTGGGAAGAACCCAGGATGAGCGGGGCCATCTGGCTACAAATGGATGGTAGGGGCACTACCTTCTAACTTGCTTTGATCCCTGAACCATTTGCTGTCACTATTGTTCCCCAGATGGAGTGGGGGACGCCCAAGACTTCTCTATTCCACCCCATTCCTCTTCATTGCTTCCTCTGTGCTGTCCAATATGTCCAGGATGATTTCTCACCTACATCCGATGCCTTCAACTGACAGACCTCCCAGGCTTTGAGGTTCAGGTCTAAGGCTGAGTATACAAACTGGGGGTAGAATTACTTTTGTGACTGAGCAAACTTCTTGCCTCTTTAAGCCTGTTAATTTTTTCTTAATATTTTCATTGTGGTGAAATAGACATAAAATTTGCCATTTTAACCATCCGTACAAGTTCAGGACATTCCATACATTCACAGTGGTATGCAACACCACCTCTGCCCATCTCCAGAGCTTACCCGCTATCCCACACTGAATCCATTCCCATAGTTCTGAACTGGGCATGAGCTAAAGACTTGTTGTAATAATGAATCTTAGTGCCTAGCACTTTGTAGCCTTAATCCCAGATTTGAAGGGTTGCAGGCCTGCCCCGTCTGGGCCAGCTGCCTGGGTAGCTGAGAGCTCTTTGTAAATACCCCCGAGGGCAGGGAAGAACAGTAATTTCTGCACGCCCTCTCCTTCAGGAATAAGTCTGGCTGCCTATAGCTTTGTGAAGATAGTTGCCTTCACCTGGACTTCCTCTTGACAGGCCTCCCTAACCTTCTCCACCCCTCACTCCCCAGCAGGTTTTGTGTCTTTGTGTGTCCCTGTTCCACAACTGTCAGGTATGTGTTCTGAAATAAAGGCTGCGTTTTCCTCACTAGTAACTAATTTAGTTCTGGGTATTTTGTTTTGGTTTCATGTAGCTGGGTGAGTTCTTTAGCCCCATGGGGCTTCTTAGTAAGTGGTCTTTAGCC